AATATTTATATATATATATATATATATATATATATATATATATATATATATATATATATATATATATATATAATTTAAATTTATGAATAAAAATACTAGCCTTGTATGTGCATAACTGTTGTTTGCCCGCCTATGTATATAATATTTTTCACAACCTTATATTTTTATAATATCTATTACCTTCTATTAATAAATGCTTTCATATTTCTTAGTGCGTACAATTTGAAATCTAAACTTCATGTATTCAACAGTTTTACAAATTGTCGATTAATTTTTAGGAAATGTCGAACAAATGATTAAAAGCAATATAAACTGCATATGAGATAAAAACAGTGTGAAACACCTAAGATGTTCACGTAAAATATTTCCGTTGTTTTAAATGATACCAGAAAATATATAATAAAGGATAAAGATTCGACTCGCAATCAGATTGGCAATAATCTTGAGAAAAGAAATCTCTGCTATCATAATAATTGCTCCTCTAAGTCGAACATTTCTTTCCCTAACACAATTTCTCCTATCACATTAAAAACAACAGAACTAGTTTAAGTGGCTCACCCAGAATATTTAAGTATAAGTTAAAGAAACTGGAAAGATATCGTATTTGATTACTGAATCGATTGTTCATATTTATTATATTTTCACATTTATGTTTCAATATCTGTTAAAAGAAACGAGCAACTGTTGAAAGCGTTGTATAACTTACTCATTTGATATTGATATGAATATCTTGTGATCTAAGTATGTCATTTGTTCTGCGATGTCCATCGCAGATAATGTCTCAATGCTTTCCTTGCTTTGTGTCTGAAATCATATGAGAATTTTTATGAACAATATAAATCTTCTGCAGTGTTCACGGTAAATCTATTGTAGCAACAATTTCGTTGTTACTACTTAACAGTTTTGCAAAAAATAGTGGTCGCAGAATAGTGTTACGTCGGCCAATTAACAGGTTTCTCGAAGTAAAAATGAAGGCAACGTAACAATTTTGTATCAATACATAATATAAATGCATAACTCGTAAATGTATAAAAAGAGTCACAGTCTAATTATTATACTTATAGAATTCTACAATTATAAAGTCATTCTCATCCGAAACCATAAGAATTGTTTGTCTCATACGTAGGTAATGTAATAGTTTGTAAATACTGCAATACGTTCAATAATATTTATCATGTCTCATCGTAGTTTACATATAAATCTATAAAATTCTAGACCGATTGCTAATCCAAGATCATCGGTAATTTTAATTGGAACTTGGTGAAATTGGTTTGGCTCTCCTGAAAGGAGACTCTGTGTTTGGCAATTGTTAATTATCTATCTAGATAATATCCAAAACAAAAGTGTCCAATTCATGGCAGTTCTTCCCTAACTGAGGTCTCAAAGTACGTACAGTGGGAGGAGCTAGAAGCTTCTTCAGGTCCACTTTGCTGCTATCCTGTTCTTCTTTGATGATCAATCGAAGCAGTAGGTGCGCCACGTCGTGTTCAGCCGGTAGCAGATGCGGGCAATAAACAATTTCTTCCAGGAACTTGACCGTTAAACTTTTCAACTTCGGATCGGACTCGAAGTCGCCAGCGTGCTTGGAGACCCAGTGTCTCAGAACATTCAGCACGCCCATCGTTGCTGCCGTTGACATGAACGATTCTTTCCGTCTGGTCTTGTAGGATCCTCTTCGATTATTGCCATTAATTTCCTCGTCTACGGAGATGCTCGCTGCGGACGTTGCGGTTGCATATGCAGTGGCAGCTGCCGAGCTACTGCTCCTGAATATTTAACATTTACAATTAATGTTTCGTTCAACTTTCGTTCGAAAGTATGTCCAAGCTATCCCGGCTGAACGATTTTTCTACGTTCCACGAGTAAAATCAAGGAAAACGTGAACGGTTGCTTCTAAACGCTTTGTCACAAATGTCGAATATGAAATAACGGCTGACTAATATTTCTTGAGACATAGAAATAAATTAGCAGCATTTATTGTTCGTTCGAAAGTACGAGAATACAGAATTGCTTAGTAACGATTGCTACTATATTGTTTCAAGGTTACATCGCTTGTTTCCCGTTCTCTGCAAGTGGAATAATTAAATATATTACTAATCTGCTTCAACGATGTGTCAAGAACAACATCGGTTGTTTCATGTATTTGTTGTTAACTAGATTTGCGTGTCTTTAAGCAAAATAAAAATGTTCTGCATCAATTTCAAGGTACTGAAATCATAGAAATGGTTTCTTACATTGATAATTTACATGGGAAAGTTATTTTCTATTCATTTCTGTAATAAATGTATAAAACTCACAGTCCAATTGTAACATTTTAGTTAATTATTTACAAGCTTTTTCATCGTTTTACTCACAGAACATGCTAATTTTCATTTGACAGGGAAAATCTAGATGACTCTGTATAATTTTAGCAACAATTTCACTGTTATTGTAACTCACTCGTACAGACGTTTCTCTCCTTCATTATTTTAAGACGTGAATAAAGTATGAAATGTAGGATAATAGTCTATAATCGATATCATTCAGTAGCCGGAATGTAATTTTTTTAGTAGTGTATGTTACGATTAAATGTGGTGTTTACATAATTGTGAAAAGAAATCTACAAATATTTTATTAATTTTCCTTTATTCTAGGCTCCAAGATATCCTTCATTAGCGTAAACGTGATAATTTACCAATCACTATTGTTTTTCCGATGCTGTTGATACATTTCCTTATTTACAATTTCTCATTTCTCCTTGAATTAATGATTCGTTTACTAAAAAGTTTTAGGAAATCTCAGAAGAAAGGAGTCAAACTTTTATTAATCTACCTAATTGCATAAACAATATATCGTCCCTAGTAACAATGTATAATTCAATTTGTTTATAAACATTGAATTGTGTCCCTCAGGAAAAACGAAATATGCACTGAGCAACTTCAAATGATCTGAAGAATCACCTCTTTCCGGGTGTTTACATAATTATGGGACACCCTGTACTTATAATCATTAGGGGAATAAATAATACAACAATGATGCTTCTACAGTAATTAACAAAGACGGCCAACTATTAGCTTGGCGAATATCAAATTGCCTTTCCGCGAATATTTAATATTTTCCATGCGATCAGTTATTGTCTTGCAAGTCTTTGCTTCCATTGAATAAACTATTATACTAAATTAATTATAAGAAATTGATATATACATGAACTTCTGAACAGGAGATTATTAACTGTTCATAAAAAGTAACTTGTATAAACTCGCAGCTCGTTACAAGAAATATAACAAAGTTTCGAAATGTTCATCTTGTGACCTCCTCATTATCGTATTTCTGATCTTTGAAATAAATTACCCTATCAGCAAAATGAATGCAATTTGCTGAAGATAAGTCCGCCGAACACGGAGAATAAGCCTGGAATTAACATTTTAATTCGTGCAGTTTTCCTACGGTCGTTTGTGCAAAATGAAATATTGCATCGCATTGTTACGCGATAAAATAATATCTTTAACGAATCACTAAAGCCGGTTGCATTGTTATCATCTTCCATGCAGTTTCTACGTCATGCCAGCGTTAGCGATTGTTATTACATTCCTATTTGAAAGAAAACATTGTGCTTGCTGCGACCGGCAATTTTTATATACGCCAACCTAATATTTTGTTCAAGTATCTGCTCATCCTGCACCGAATCCATTCGTTGACAGTGAGCGAGTGAGGCCAGCAATAATTTCTTACACACACGGTTCATTTAATTTGTGATTCGTTCGAACAAGCAAACGAACCTCTATAACCACATACTTCAATTATAATCCTATTTCATCCTTCATCCTTTGTAATCCTTATTTATCATTTAATGAATGCTTCGAAGTTTATTTTATGGTGCTCTCATAAATAAAAAAGGTCTTCTCCCGAAGTAAACAATTTGTATTCACGAATCCTATATTGATGTATGTGACGTACATGTTTCAGCAGACGAAGCAACGTATTTCGAATAATTCCAATATGAAATCTAATGTGCACTAAGATAGAAAAAAGTATTAACAATTCACGTTATGCATTCGATCGTAGTTCCGTAACGAGTAGTTTCAGGTGTGGACATTATAATCGCGAACACTAAGTAACAGAAAGCGTCTAACAGGTGAAAACTATTTCTATTTCGTTTAGTTCGCTTATCGCTGTTCAGTGTAGTGCAGAGATTATAATAAAAAGAGAAACTATAAAATAGGCATTACTTACTAATAAAACTCCGCGACGTAAGGAAAAAAAGTGTAGCGTTTTCGGTACGAAAGTAATGTAAATTAAAGAATTAATG